CATACGGTTCATCTTCACCTGGACAGCAGGAGAACAAACCACCAATAAAAGAAACAAAAAACTCATGGGTGAAACATTAAAAGGTTTGTCATCAGCATCTTTGTTACCCTGTTTTCTCCTCTAACTCCTGCTGCTGGAGGAGCTGGAGCTGCAGCAGTGGGCTTGACAGCAGAAACTTGACAGAGAAGGAAAGACAGATTGTTACATCAGGAGCCAAAAAGAGAGACACTGGCCTACTCAGATACATACTGCACAATAATGATAAATAAATGCTTTCTGCAGCAAGTAGATTTAACACACCAGATTTAGCTGGGGCAGCCTGTGGTGGCACTGGGGGTTCTGGAGGCGCGGCAGTGGTGGCTGAAGCTGGAGGTGGAGGAGGAGCTGCAGCCTCTGCAGCTGGGGAGGGGGCAGTTTTGGCAGCAGCAGCTGAGGAAACAAGACGTAAAGAAGGAAACATGTAATATGGGTCTTATGGTTGTAAAGGTATGTTTCAGTGCGGTCATAATTCAATAAATGTTAAAATCATTATTTTGTATCCATTTGGGAGTAGCTTCTCAGCTATGGAGCTACAAAGATTAGTCGATTAATCGGCAAATTAATTGGTTTGGTTTTAACTAATTTTTTAAAAAAAGCTTCTCACATGTGAATACTTTGTGGTTCCATTTATGACAGTAAACTGAATATTTTTTGGTCGTGGACAAAATAAGAAATTTTAGGAGCTCATCTTGAGCTTTGGGAAACACTGATCGACATATTTCACAACTTTCCGGACCCAACAACAAATCGATTCATTGAGAAAAAAATTGAGAGATTAAATCGATAATGAAAATAATCAATTGTTGCGTCCCTATGTAACACACAACTACAGAAGTCATTTCAAATTTACAAGGGGGTGAAAAAACACACACTACCGACTGAATTATGTCATGTTTCACACATATGTTTCGCATTAAAACTAATAATATACTGTATATTATTAAGGGAAAGGAAGGCGGTTTGTGTTAATCTCAGAAGCTTGGCATATGTTGCAAAATAGTAACACATCGAGTAAAGTATCAACAATCTACTGTTTTGGTAATTGTACTGAAACTTAGGTCTCACACTGCCACCGGCATATAAAAAAAAACCAAAAAAAACAAGTCTGTTTACTTTAGTGACTAAATGATAACTGATGCACAACTAAGCACACCTCCTTTCCGGAGTTTGAAGAGCGGCGTCCCTCCTTCTACCTTCCCTCCATCAGGCACCAGCAGTTCCTCAATTACACCGGCTGCTGGAGAGGGCACCTGAACAGAGGTCTGGAGGAACAAAATATAGACGTTTTGAGTAGGTTTCTTGATAAAGTGATATAAAAATAAAAATCATACAGATGATTTCAGTTTGATGGTCTTGTTCTAACCTTGTCAGTCTCAATTTCACACACCACTTCATCTTCTGTCACAGAGTCGCCCACAGCTAAAGCATAAACAACGAAAGAGCATGTATTTCATGTGCTAAAATATGGTTACTTTGAACATTTGGCTCATTGGCAATAAAATATGGGACACTGACACCTGTGAAATATTTTACCTACGACAGAACATATACCAACCTTTCTCCCACCTCACATCCCCCTCTGTAACAGATTCTGCGAATGCAGGGGTTTTGACTGTGATGACCTCTTCCCCTGTAAAAAAAAAACCAAACAAAAAAAAAAAGGGGAAGAGGTCAGTTGCTGTAAGTTGAGCAGAGCTGAGGTCAATACATGACGTTGAGAACTGTACATACTGTGAACAGCAGATGTCTTGAAGTATCGGATGTGAAAGACATTCGCTGATGATGGAAATTCGCATCTAAATGTAAAAAACAAAAAAACAAACAAAATTACTTGTACTTTTAGACAAATACATTTAAACACACACACACACACACACACACACACACACACACACACACACACACACACACACACACACATATACTGATAAATACGCAGATGCCTTTCTCAGCATTATTATGTTTTTAGGTTTACTCTACTCCACATGAAACCCCTCTCAGAGATAACATTTGCTGCACAGGTGTACGACTCAGTTTACACTGTATGAATGAAATAGACAAACTCTTACACTGACTGATACTGAGGGGCGTTCAAAGACAGACACCAAAATTGGAGAGAGCACTTACGGCTGAGACTTCCTGTAAACTAGCCGGCTGCAGACAGAGAGGCCTTAAGACAGAAAAAGAAAAGAGAGAAACATAATCAACAAAATCTGTAACTACTGCTTCTCCTGAGATATGAGTGGAGCTCCCTGAAAGCTGGTGTTAACTACTTGTGGGCTCTGAGGCACCTCAGCCACTCAAAAAACATCACTTATTCTGCTTTGGATGAACCACTCACAGAGCTTGTTTATTTATGAGCAATAAAAATACAAACTGCAGTTTGAGATGTTGCATTACCGATGAGGTTCTCAACTCCAGCTAAAAGGTCTAGTCTACTTAGTTAGAAACACATTTACCTGATACACTTTGTCGGAAGAGCACGTTATCAGCCTGAAAAGACAGAGAGTAAAAAATATGCTTCAAACGTAAAGTCTAAATATAATATAGAGAACAAACTGAGACATTGGGAAAACTGACAGCAGAGATTTGCTTCCCCTCACTGGAAGATAATGCTGACAAAAACAGGCTGCTGTATGGTCAACTGTGCTGCATTGCTGTATGTTATAGGTTGTGTGTAGGTATTTGCAGGGCAGGGCCTCTGATGAAGAAGCCGGTCTAGTTCTGGCTACTTTCACACGGATGTTTGTCTGTTTTGCCTGGCGATCCTAACACAAACCTATAGTTGTGGGATGCCCGGGGACAATGGAGTTCTCAGAAATTGACCACATCATATAAAACTGACTGATTCAAAGCATGTGCACGAGTGTAGCAACCAAGTCACTGGAGTTTTCATTGTTCTAACTCACTAGAACTGTAACATACCATGAGAGTAAAACATTTCAATGAGTGATGAACCACCATCATATTTAGTTTCACTTTCTGATTTTGTTACAATACAGTAGACACTCAATAAATCCTACCCACTATCTTTAGAGCTGAAACAATTACTTGATCAGGTGTTTAAAAGTTAGTTTTTAAAGCAAAACCTGCAGAACATTCACTGATTTACGTTTCTCAAACAAAACTGATCTATAATAGAAATAATCATTAGTTACCGCCCTAGTTATGTACCTAATAATAATAACCTCTATGCAGGCTATAATCCACTGCCAGCAACAGCACCATACTGTGGTCTCTGTGAAGTAGGGAGTAGTAGCTAATCATTCTTGGCGAGACACACAGGTTATTATCATCGTGATCATGTTTCAGCTTCAATACCTGCTCAAAGCACTGGAGAGATAGCTGAAATTGTCTGACTTGACATGGGCTATTTCTGCCACACACCTGCCTTTACAACCACAGGGCACCAGAACATGCTAACATTAGCCTGTCTCATTGGTGTAGAGCCAAACCAGCGGTTGAGAACATGTAAAAGAAAGTAGACAGTAAACTACAGGGGACATAGGTGATAGTTTGTTAGTTTGTGTAAGTTTGTTATGACTTGCTGGCTAAAGCTAATATTAGGTGCGGCTTTGTTCTTGAAATAAAGCCTTAAATAGAGTCCAGACAGTTAATGGTACACTGCTGCTTCCCCCCCTCTGCAGCTGCCCGGGTGTGTCTGCTCTTTGTAGGCGACGCTCTGCTCCACAAGCCAACGTCTGCTAAAGGGGAGCTAACAGCTAGCTGTGTATTATTTTAATCTGTCGAAACCGTTTTAGAGCCCATACACAGGCTTGGTCCACTGGTGTTGTCCGACCTACCTGGCTAGCCGCTGACAGAGAACGGCCAAGCGTCTGGTATACGCATCTGGACCGCGATAACATAGCTACAGCTGCCGGCGGTGAGCTTCTTATCTGACAGCAGCTGAAGGAAAGAGCAGCGCAGAAGCTCGCTGGGAGGAACCACTGCGGCTGGTAGGGAGGGGGGACCGGGGGACAGAGGGACCGGGCGGCGGGAGCTGGGACTGAATAAAGTAATTAACTAGAACCTGACAAACATTGTGAAAAAGGAGAAAATAAAAGGGTTCCCCAAAGAGATAAAATAATGCCATTTATTTAAAGCCAACAGGACTGTACCATTGTCTGAATTAGGTAGCAATCACACTACACTTTCAAATTAATTTCACAGTAGGCACAATGGTACTGTTCATATAAAATGATAAGAAAGTAAATAACATTTGAATTGAGCATTTATTCCTCACTTAGTCCATTAACAGTATGTTATCCGGTTCAAATAATAGCCGAAATTTAATGTTCTTATGTGCAGGTAGGGGTGGGATCGGTGGGATAGGTTGGCATATTAGACCACGCCTCCTGGTTGTTGGAGGGGCTCTCAGCTGGACCAGTACAAATATGAGTCATTTCTCCTCCAGCGAGATCCAGACTGGAAGCTCCCTCGGGTCCCTTTGGAAAGGCAACAGGTGGGTTATCAGGTTGTATAATACTGTATGTAGCTGTACTTATTATTATTTAAGCTACAGGTTTAGTTTTTACTTTCTCATATCAAATCAGACTGTAAGATGTTTGAATTGAGTCTAAAATGGTTTATTCAGCTAAACAAGGTGCAAATGAGAAACTTGCATGGCAGTCTACAGCATTACAGGGACACAGAAAAGTGAGAAGATAACAATTTCAAAGATTTGAAAAATAATGTCTCTGCTAGTTGTGCAAAAGGAATTCTGCCAAAATACAAAATGCTTCATTTAAATCAACAATTATGTTTTATCTGGACAATATGCATTATTCTGGCTTCATATTTTCAAGTTGGAATGTACTTAAGTTTGCAAAAATCCAAGCTTTCATTGATATTTGTTGCTGTCACATGTTCAAGAATTCCAGGAAGCAATTTGACTTTTAGTTCTTGTAACACCTCCATTTTATAATTAATGACAATGTTTTTATTCACTTCTGTCTTTTTTTTTTTTATCCACCAAGCATGAATCCAAGTGTTTGGAGCAAAGGTATGTATTCTTCCAGCAACATTTGCCTTGACGGCTGCCCTGCAGAGCGCCTCTCCTCTTTTCAATCGGACCCTGTGCCGTCAAATTCAGATGCGTCTGGTGCTTCTGTGACCTTACACAAAGACAGTGAGAACATAAAAATGCTACCGGAGAGCGTTTATTACAGCAGCTGCGATGCTGGTTCAATGATCTGTTCCAGACAGCTGAAGCTCAATCCATCCAGAGATACTGGATATTTATCTGCCAGAAGGCACCCATCTCCTGCATCCAGTTCTTGTGGTCGACATGACTGGTACTTAAACAGTGGCCGTCGAGCAAAGCGTGCCAGGGTGGAAAATATCATCAAAGGCATGACCGGCTCTCCTGGTATGCACTGCACAGATGTGATGACAAATCAGCATGAGGAGGCAGACGGTATGCAGGACAACGAAAGGATTCAAGATCTGCCTTTACACCAGGAGCACATGGAAAGAAATGGATCTGGCAGTGCGAGAAAGCAGCTTGATATTCAGCATCAGCACCTCAGACAGCTCAGAACAAGGTTCAACCATGTGGATGGAGTAACTGAAACTACAGACAGTACAAAGGAGGAGCAATATCCCACTTGGAACGATTCTCCTGAAGCATCTCCAAGGGACGCACGAACAAATTCATACAGTGAGTTTGAGAGCAGCCCGAGTAGAAAAGATCACGGCTGGAAGAAGGTGAAGCTATTCAACTTCTCCCAATCCAAACCTGAGAGAACACAGCTGATGGCAGATGTTTTAAAGTATGAACTGTCCAGAGCTGTCAACAGAAGCGTTGACACTATTTTTAAACGTATGCCACGCCTACAGACATCGCCAAATGACGAGAGGAATGTGGAGACTGATGTGCCTCTTCACTCATCGGTTTGCAAAGATAATAACATAAGACAGTCGTGTTGTGGGAACGCAGCGGTGCACGTCCCTGGTGTTCAAACCGAAGCTCTGTCTCTGGTTGTGCAAAAGCCTCGATCGGAAAGAGCCGACAAGTCCGTCCTCCAGTCCGAATCGAGAGCTCACCATGGTCCAAAACCTCCGATCCCCTTGAGTCACGACTCGGCTCTGCGTGAAGATCAGCTGCCAGAGAAGAATCACAACACTGCCCCTCAACATGCCCTCGGATGCTTGCCAGATGGATGCTCCGAAGTTGGTCAAGCAAAGTTTGAGAGGTTTGACGCACACTGGAATTCGGTCAAAGTCAGAACAAAGGTCAACTCCAGATGTGTCAGAAGCCCACAGACTCACAGTGTGTCGGTGGATCCCATGTTTTTGCAAAGTCTGTGTCTCCCTCATGTCAAGATTGAGTCCGATAGCCTGGTGAAGAACAACCTGTACATGCTGAATGTATCCTTTACAGGTTTCCATACTGATGTAGTAACATTTGATATTTTATAATGTTCTCTTGCAGTGACAGAAGTAAGATTTTCTTTCCTTATTGTAGCTTCTAAAGCAGTTGCCTTTAGACACAAGTAATCATTCTTCCTTTGCCTTTTTGAGGTCCAAATAACCACAATAATAATTCTGCCGAACACAAACCTTATCATTACCCCAGATATGTGCTCTGAAATTAGTCTTTTCATCGACAACTTTGCACCTTACATAATCCAACAAGTCCTCCCTTTGATGTTCCAAAGTGAAGAAAACTGCGGTCTCTCCATTTGTCCTGAGTTTTAATGATTTCTTGTCAACAAAATTCACACAGTTTCATTATATCTAGGATGTGTGTGTTTTCTCCTTAACACTGGGGCATTTAGGAAGGTCTGACAACAAATCATCTGAAGAAAGCAAAGCTTATATTCTTCTACACTCGCTACCCGAGCTCACTGGTGCTGAAGATGTGTTTCCATGATGTGCAGGTGAGAAAATGCTTCCAACAGATAGAGATGGCATTTGTTACAATGTTGGGAAAGTTGCTGTATTTTGCATTTAAGCAGGCCTATGTCTAGCCGCTTTTTATTTTTTATTTTTAGAGAAAATCTGTATAAAAAAGCAGTCTGCTAATGTCTGTGGATTTTAATGTGCTGCATGTTTTATGATTCAAAATGCATCTGTCTCCACATAACAAAGAATCAGTTCCACACAAGTTAATACATTGTTTTTTATTTGTCAGCAGCATTATAATCAGGCAATCAGATCAGGATTAACAACTTTACATCATTATTACATTTCTGTAAAACACAATGTGTAAAAAGGGCAACACAGAGATGTGGTAAAATACAGTTTATTCATATTTTATTTGCTCTATATTTTAAAATGTACATGGTAAAACATGTTTAGCAGCTTCTCTCACATAAAGACAAATGACTCATACTATATCCAATCAGACAATAGGGACTCTGATCGTCTCACTTACTTGTTTTTCTGTTTCGTCCTCAGTTCACTCGCTGTATCACCTCTCAGCTCATCAAGTGGTTCAGTAACTTCAGGGAGTTTTACTACATCCAGATGGAGAAGTTTGCCCGACACGCTCTCACAGAAGGAGTGGCCGACGTGAGGGGTCTGACTGTGGGGAGAGAATCAGAACTGTTCAGAGCTCTCAACATGCACTACAACAAAGCCAATGACTTCCAGGTAAATGATTCTACACACTATAGTTCTTACTGCTCTTAGGTGCAAAATACTGGTGAGATCCTACTGTGATGTATTTTTTGCTTTCAGTGAGGTTGTTTTATTGTGTCATTTTGATCAAGTGCAGTCCAACACGATTCACTTCTATTGGATGTGCACGTTGTACTTTATATTTATCAATAGTCTCAAATCTTTAGCCTGCTTCACTGCATCTGCGTCTCCTCATTTGTAATGGTATGGATTTTAGAAATCAATAAAGGACAGTGGCTTTACAAGATGAATTTATTGTGTTCCAACAATAAAAAACAGATGGTAAATTATAAATTGCTTTAGCAATATATGCCATTTACTGTAAGTATAAAAAAACAAACAAACATAGAATTTAAAGGCATGATTCATTATAGCAAGAGGTGCCACATGTGTGAACACCTGTCTGCTGTTGGCTATATTAGATGTGTTAATGCGTACAGATAATTCCAAGATGATGCGTAAACCATGGGAATGAAATTGTGCTGGGTGGATAATATTTGAAATCTATGCAATGTAGAAGATTTTCTTCTTTTATCTTTAATTATTTTGATTAAACTTGTCCATCATGTGAATTACATCACAAAATGAGACAAGTCACAGTACTTAACAGTGTTAACTACTATAAACAAAATATATTTTAAAAAGTCACAAAACTGGCCCCCGCGACCCTGTACGCAGGATAAACAGTTGGCTATGATGGATGGACAAAACTGCTTAGGAGGAGAAAGGTAGGGAAGGTGGATCAAAGTAAAAAAGAAAAAGTCTTTAGTTTAAAAGTGTTTAAAAAATCACTTGGTCTTCCACGTGTGGAGTATTTTACTTTATTAGGCCTGAGATGTGCCATAACACTTGGAGTGCAGATTTCATGCTAATTTACTTTTGGGTACTCTGCTTTTGAAGCATTAGGATCTCTCTGATTCTCAATAGTAGAGAACCCAAACTAATATTAATATAAGGAAAAACCTTCTTATTAAGTTTCCACTCTATTAGTGAACATTAGGCATACAACAGCCTAATCTGATTTTATTATTAGTCAAAAGGCCATAAGATAGGTAGGTTGTTAGGTAGGAACATTTACTGTCACAATATAATGGGTTATATAATTAAACTGAGTTTTGTAAATAGAGATGTAGCATTAACAAACACTGTCGCTGTTAGTCTGGGAATATATAATGCAGTTAAATATTGTTCATGTTGACCGTTTATATGAACATCAAGCTATTTAACATATAATAGCTTTAATATTAATTTTACTAACTACTTCAACTACTACACCATAATAAAACAGCGGGGAGTACTATCAAAGGACAGTGAGACTGGTTTGACTGTAGATGAGTTTTAGAAGAAGTCAATGCTATCTGATTAATACATATAAGGCGGCCAACTATAATTCAAGATGCAGCCTATTAACCAAAAAAGCATACTGTGAAGTTTGTGTCACAATTAGTATTTGGAATCATATATTTGAAAAATATTGTTTTCCTGGTGTAAAATTTGGATATTTACCACAATTTTAGTTTTGGAGATATTTAGAAAATGAGAGATGTACTTCTAATGTGATAAAGTTATTTTACATAGTGGCAGATGTGCTATGGAAATGGATCCGGATCATTATATTAGGTTTTAATTACACACATACATATATACACACACAAATCCATATGGCCATATTATTTTTTAGTAAATGTGTATCTCCCCACCCTGTTTTGCATTTTGCAAAATCTTACTGCAAATTTAGGAAAGATTGGAAGGAACTGAATAAAAGGTATCGTTATTTTTTGGCTACAGTTTAAGTTGTCAATATATTGTTGATACATAGGTGAACATTACATTATTCAACTGATTAATGAAATTAATCAAAAAAGGTATCAATGACCTTTGACATTTTTAGTCAAGTGTCACCTTTGTGAAAAAAGGTCCATCTTCCCTTCTGTTCCTGAGTGACATTGTTAAATAACAGCCAAAAAAAAGTAATTTTTCCAGGACATTATGTCATCACTGTGAAGATGACCGTTGACTTCTTGGGTAAAAAATGTCATCACTTTATCGTTGCATCCCATTAAATATCTGTGTGAAATGTTGTCATAATTACAGCATCAATTCTTGAGTTATGGCCAAATACGTGTTTGTAAAGGTCATTTTGAGGTCACAGTGACCTTTGACAACCAAATTCTAATCAGTGCATCCTTGTGTCCAAGTGGACATTGCCAAATATGAGGCAATTCCTTCGAAGTGTTTGAGATATCGCGTTCACGAGAATTCTCGTGAATGCGATATCCCTTAACATGTCATCAATACAGCTGATCTGAATAAGTCAAGTAAAATCCATCATTTTAGCATCACTAAGTGGCAGACACTCTTTACACAGAGAAACCAAAACATATTTTAAAAATCTGTATGCTGTAATGCAATACAACAACCCTGCAATAAATTAACACCTGACCAGTGTTTCACCAGTATATTAGTATTTGTCGTTTCAGTTGAAGCTGATAAAAAGGAAAAGTGAGGTTAGAGAAAAGGCCTCAGCATTTGCCTTTTAGATTCTGACCCAATCTGTGTACAAGCACATTGATTATCCAAAGTAGAAACGGTCCATCCTCAGCGGAGCATAAATGTGCTCAAAAAATTTTTGGGAGATTTACTCTTGAGATTCTGATATTTGTACAAGGCGGCATTCTGACCAAATGGTGGTCAGGAAAAACATCATGGGGTCTCTAAGGCATGAGTTAAAAAAAACAACAACTAATTGTTTGTCAAACATCTCATTCACAATGATATACATCATAAGATACTAGTTCATAGCAGATATCAGTATAGGCGTATCTGTCAGCCAATATATGACAAGAAACTGAGGTACAGAAATGCCAAAGACGTTTTCAAACACTGTCACCAATCTATTGTTAGTCCACTGGAGTAGTCAGTGCAGTCCCAGAACATTTCTAGGTTGCAATAGTTTTTAATATAAGGGATCCTTATAAAAAAATGCATTTTCATGTCATGGATTGTGTAAAGAAAATGAATAACGGTCAATCATTATCAGATTTCTTTTCTTTTAGGTTTCAGCCTTAGAAATCCTGGCAGGGATATTTTCAAAATAAAATAAGATTAAGAAGATTAAACATTTTTAGACCATTTTATTTTGCCTTACCAGATTTTCTTTTCTGAAAGTGTGCAGGATCACCGTATAAGATCCCCTATTGTGGGAAGGTTGACATGTTGGCAACTGGCGATGTACACAATTACAACTACATAGGGCTGCAACTAAAATTATTTTATTTGTTTTTCATTTTCTTGATTAATCGATTAGTTTTTTTGTCTATAAAGTGTCAGAAAATTTACAAAAATGCCAATCAGTTTCACAAAGTCCAAGATGACGTCCTCAAATGTCTTTAGTCCACAACCCAAAGATATTCTCTTTACTGTTATAGAGTAATAAAACCATAACATTTTTACTCTTAAGAAGCTGTAATCAGCTGACTCAAACCGATTAATAAAATAGTTGGCAATTAATTTCATAGTTAAGAACTAATCAAATAATCGTTGCAGCTAAACTAAACCACTTATCTAGTGTCTCCTCATGTACATGAAGGCCCTCTGACAGTGGACTGAATTTTGAGTGCACTTTAAAGTGATTTTTAACCGGACAACATAATACTGCTCACCAGCTCCTGCTTTGCTTGAATTCAACAATATTAGGAAGTAACAACAGAAATGTGAAAATAGAAAAAAAAAAAATGAAGTTTTATATTAAAAAGTAGTAGAAAGGTGTCGGCTTTTGATGTAATTTATTATTGTTCTAAATTAATTGTAGACCCTTTGCTAAATTTTGACTCTTTACTTACCTTGATTCGCCAGGCCTGACTCTGATTATCGTAAATATAATTCCAGTCTACAAAATTTCCCCTTCATGTCAAACACACACACACACACACACACAGTTAGAGCGTGAACAGTTTTTGTGTTAAGTCTTTGATCTTCTCCTGTGGATTCACAGGTCCCTAACAGATTCCTGGAGGTTGCGGAGATTACATTGAGAGAATTTTATGTTGCCATTTCAATGGGCAAGGATCGCGATCCATCGTGGAAGAAAGCAATCTACAAGGTGATCTGTAAGCTGGACAGTGAGGTACCAGCTGAATTCAAACATCATCGCTCTGAGAGATGAGAACCAACCGGAGGACAACATGTGCCACAGTGGTTTCTGTCACAATGTGGACTTACTCGTGCCTTGAGCTGCAAACTATTTTGTTTACCTTAGAAGACACTATAATGTAAAAACATACATACTGATGGCTGAGATTATCAAAGGCATCATGATGTATCTTGACATATGTATTTTGCTATATCCACCATATCATATAGCAATAACATATGTTGTGCTTGTGAAGCACAGTGAAATGTCTTCAAATCACAAAGTGCAACACAGAACACATTTTCTTGTTTTTGAGGAGCATTTTTCTTTAATAGACACAGAAAAACAAGGTCCACACCACATAAGAAAAACATTTTTAATATTCAGCAGAGCTCATTATTGCCATTCGGTGTGAATGTACAGGATATATAAAATGGAAGTTACATTAATTCTAAAAGGAGTTAATCACTATGTTGTTTAGTATCTCAATAGCCACATAAACTGTAGTTAAAATTGCAGCGTTTCTGTCACTCTTCCATACTTACCATGAAGATCCATCCACTTTCCAAATAATACACTGTGGCTGGCTGTCCACAGGTAAATCAAACATGCTCTTCATCAGTGCTTCTGTGTTCGGTCAGAATTGACGATCCTTTCTTTGTCTTCAGTTGTTTATAATCCAGATGTAAATTTCTCATGTGAAAATTCTGGACCTTTTGCTTTGTAAGTGCAAATTTAAATATAAATTTATTTTTAAAAACGTGAATACATTTGCGTACAATGCCATATATTAACTGCTGAGACTACATTTGGTTAATTTAAATACTGATATGCAGTGTGCACATGTAGGCACTTAACAGTTTGTAATGAAATTCCTCAGAAAACTCAATTGCAGCATGCAGAATTACCTTGCTCTAAATGGCCCATGTGAAAAAGGGTCAAACTGACTGTATATTTAAAAATGATCGCACTAAGCAGTCGTAGTAGATATGTTTTTTTCTCAGATACATTTTGCAGCCAGTTCAGCTTTTTTCAAAGTTAAATTGGCTTCTGAGACTTTTTTTGAAACACCTATAAACAAAAATAAAAGCACTTCATTAGGAGCACGACATTTAATTTGTTCTTTCAAACTACATGAATATTATAGTTAATTGTGGGTTACATGTAGTAATAATCAGCTGAATGAAAAGCCACTGTGGGCTCTGACTTGTCATTGAAGAAACCAACATCTTGAGTCCCAGTGTTCACAGTACTCCTGACTTTACTTTCCAGTTGTTTACCATCACAAATTTGGAAATTGAGAGTTCTTGAGAACACCATGAACCTTGCAACCATTTTTGTGTTTATTACAGTGCTCCAATATAACTGACTATGTTATAGTAACACAGAGTGAGGTGATCCTTTTCAGTCCGAAGATCATGCACTTACATTACACCCCATCTTCACTTGCAAACAAGCCACAAGTTGAGCCCATTTACTAAATAAACTCGTGCGATTTCAACCTAGTAGGACTTTAAACTGGCATCTTCTTATTAAGTGCAACAAGGAGAAAATTGCAAATGCTCAAATGTAATCCACAGAGGTGTGTACACTATATAGGGATGCAATACATTAGCACATCAAGTTTTAGTCTGAAAAGTACCTACAGGTAGGAAAGTGTCTTGTAAACTTTCTTGGTCAACATAGACGTGATTGGACATTTTACATGTACACAAGAACTAGAGCCTGACGGATAAATTGCTGTGCTTATATTTTCGGCGGATAAGAGCTAATTGCAGATTAATTGGTATCTCTGTTATAACAGCCGATAAATGACAAAAACAAACAGACAGAAGACGTATTCTTCCATCATGTTATGAGTGTTGTCGTTGCATATTTAGTCCACCAGAGGGCACTCTGCAACTCCCCTATTCGCAACACATAAATACAGCAATCTGCTGACATAATAAGCTGTACTTTAGTTCAAAGAGCTATTTATAACAATAAACAAACGTCAAAATGTCTTGTTTTCTTGGTGAGGACTCATAACACACAGCAAATGTTAGGGATAATCTTTGGTTTCTGAAGAGAAGGAAAAAAAAAAAGAATTTCAAATATTAAAATTGGTATCAAGGTCTTACCAGTCAGGCTCTAATAAAAACACTCCACCAAAATGTCATGTTACCATTTACTCTCTTATTGTCAATCTTCTAACGTAACCATATACAGTGATAAAGCTCATAACAGTCATCCTTAAAAAATGTCACAGGGCTAAACATGTAATATCGGGCAGTTAAACAATTTGGTGAAAAATGGTGAAGCCCAAATGACAATGAAAGAAAGACTCCCCAAGTTGGTAATTTTGTGAAACTTTTATTGTCGTTTTTTCAAGTATGCATGGACCAAGAAATTGTGCTACATGTGTACAGTACAGGAAGCATGAAGAGTATAAAACAGCAAAAAATATGACTAGATACAGGAAACAGCACAAAATCATAAACTACAAGTTTATTGGCAAATAACCAGAGTGTCTGTTTAAAAATAAGAAAGAAAACTGGACTTATCCTTATCAATGACATAACTATGAATTTGATAACTATTGGTGATGTCACCTTGATGAGTCATGTTTCACCAAAAGGTAAGCTTCAGTGTTTTCACATTCTGGACACCTGTAGGAACAAAAAGAAGTCACTGATAATTTTGCCAAAGACCAATTTGATTCTGCTACTGCTACAATCATGTTATCCTTTTATATATAGTTAATTACATAGTGTGTAAAGTATTGTCTTGTAAATTCAAGTATACTCAGCCACACAAAACTATCCTTTTATGTGGAATAAAATATTTGCATCCACTCAAACTTAGTGAGGTTACATTTGATTTGATCATAGCATTGTATTTACTGCGCATAATCTTGATAAAAGGTAAGACGTGTAAGTCTTTCTGAACAAATGGCTTGATGATCCATGGTGACATAACAGTGGATTAAAAGGTTTCTGCAAATGTTTTTATCATATACATCTGAACTAACAATTTCCATTCACTTGCATCTATTGATCCATAAAGTACATTTTTAATAGAGGGCATGTAATAAAAAGGGCCTCAAATATATCCTTGTCAAATGTTAGAATTTGGATACTAATCACCATTTTATATTTTCTAAACACAGATAGAATTACTGTACAACATTATGCAAAAGAGTAACATACATACCTTTAAATGAAGGGGGGGGGGGGGGACAAGATTATCTTCTTAGAAATACTTGGTGCGGTTGAGAGCTCTTTGCGCCAGCTTTCCACTCTCATCCGTTATTCTCTCCCAGTCCGTTTGACCCACCACAAAGCCGATGGCGCGCTTTCGATCCGCGTCCTTTTGCTCTTCAAGATCAGCCCATCGAACCTTAACAAAACAAGGACGGCAACCAGGGTGCTGGTGTTATGACCAGGAAATGGATAAATGGACATCAATTAAGGTAAATCACTTACATTATTTAACACTTAACATTATACAAAAATGGTATATTTTTAAACTGGATTTTTACATTCGGTATTTTCTCTGTGCCTCTTTGGCAAACAAACACATTTGTAGATGACCAAAGCAGCAGCTCTGTAGCACAGCGTGTCTATTTACCCTTTTCTTTCCTGGTTCGGACATGCGTGTGGCATAGTCGTCTGGCAGCTGAAGGTAGTCATCCAGGCCTGCCATGTCTTCACGTTTCCTCTTTCCACTGCTCCCCAGACCGTCCAACTTGTCTGTATAAATGGAAGATTACTGGCCAGGTCAGCTCTGCCGTCCTGCTAAAACTTTAACTTCATCACTCAACAACTAACATTCTGCGAGTCATTCAGCCTGATCCGTTTTAGCAATGTTCTGCCTCACAGTCACATACAATAACACAGAGAGAGGGCTGTTTCTTATTCACTTCCCTCCTCATTCACCTGGCTTGGGATTTATAGAAATGATCAGGATGTTTACATGTATATTGGGTGGGGAAAAAACTATATCATTTCCCATTTTTAGGCCTTTTATGCAGAACTTGATCAGTACATTCACCCTTTATTTCAACACACTGTGGGCTTTGTTTAACTGTGGTGAATTAGAAGCATCTTTCATGCTGTGTGCACAGAAGGTAAAGCATGGCAGCAGTAAAAATCACTGTTATTCATTGATGAATCCATTTCTCCTCACAGGCATGGTCATGACATACATAACACATACATTATAAGATTAAAAGATGCACAGCTTTAAGACATAAATATCATGAATCAAATCAAAGTAGCCGGACATGAAATGCACTGTACTGTTGAAGGCGCCTCTATAGTACAGAGGTAAAAGATGGAGTAGTCAGTCATAATAAAGACTTAATAAAAAGGAATACCTACCGAGTTTAGCCTCAGACGTGTCCATCTCCCATTTGCTTTTTGGAATGTAGGCCTATATAATAAAGAAACACTGCAATGGTTAAACAACAGGGTGATACAGGGATAAGAGAGGGAGAGGGAAAACGGGGGTTGGCTGAAAAGAGAGGAGACTGGTTTATCAATACTTGAAAGACAACAGAGAAAACTGAAGGATGAGAATACATGAGGACTTATCTAGTTAAGACATATAATGTTACACTGGCATGCAGATATTTCTTGCAAGTAGAGATAAACTAATGTATTCAGACTAAACCTTTGTTCTTAGCTACATGCTAAAAAAAATAGTGGATAGCAGATGTGCTCTGCTTTGGAGAACACAATTTCAGTGACAAAGTGCTTTCCTTAAAAACAAAAAAAGTAAAACTCCAATCATGACGTTTGCCTGTGTGCGCTAACGATCGTGTGATCAACACATTTCACATTACAAAGAACAATGCCCCTGTGTCCGAGTCTGCAGTAGTGCTGCTCAAACTTTTATACAATCAGGATCAGAGCTTTTCATTGCGTCACTTCTCTCTGACCAATCCCCAGTTTTCAAATTACACTGATGCTATCTGGCTGGCGAGCTAACCAAAGATTTCTGACAGTCCAGCATCTGCACTAGTTCCTAATTAAGAAGACACTACTGTATTC